AACAGCCCAGTTTCCCCCCCCCCCGCCATTCTTGTTCTCATATAGCAACTCCTTTTCTGAATTAACTTGTGCCTGAAGATTACCTGCATTCAAACTGTTGCTGACTGTGCAATAGCCTCTACTCTCTTCCATGAAGATTAGAGCCAAATTCAACTTTTACAGCAGACAGTAAAATGTTGCCATACAGCCGCAAGTGATAACCATGTTTGTTATCATACAGTCATAGAAAGCATGGCTGAAAGAGACCACAAGAAGTCACCCTGCCTATCTTACAGATTCATAGATGCTAGAGGCTGGAAGGGACCTTACAAGATCATTAGGTATGGCCCCCCCTGCCCTTGGGCAGAAAAGACTGCTGGGGTCAGATGAGCGTGGGCATCAAGATACTTTTTGAAGATCGCCAGGGTGAGTGACTGTACCACCTCTGCAGGGGGGTCCATTCCATACCTTCAGCACTCATATTGTAAATACATTTTTCTTTAGGTCTAATCTGAAGCAATCTTCAATCAGTTTGTGCCCATTGTTACTTGTCCTCCGCTGGGGGCCTTGGTGAACACATGGTCCCCGAGGCCCTGATGTATGCTCCTAACATACTATAGGCTGCCACCAAGTCCCCTCTGAATCTCCTCTTCTCCAGGCTGAATGGTCCCAAGTCTTTCAGCCTCTCCTCATATGACCTGCTCTCCAGACCTCTAATCATGAGCGTGGCCCTCCTTCGGATTCTCTTGAGGTTCTCCACATCCGTCCTGAAATGCAGCACCCAGAACTGGATGCAGAACTCCAGCTGCAGTCTCACCAAGGCTGAGTAGAGCAGGAGGATGACATCCTTTGTCTTGCATCTACCGAGGCATCTCAAGCATGCCGGTGTTTGATTTGCTCTGCCAGCTACAATATCGCATCAGTGCCTCATGTTCATTCTGTGGTCTGCCATGACCCCCCAGGTCTCTTTCAGTTGTAGTGCTGGCAAGCGTAGCACTGCCAAGCACGTAAGCATGTTGTGGATTATTTCTCCCCATATGGAGCACTTTACATTTCTCCATGTTAAACGTTATCAGGTTAAGATCCACTCACCTTGCAACCCTGTCCAGGTCAGCCTGTATTGCCAGCCTGTCCTTGAGTGTGACCACAGTCCCCCATAGTTTAGTGTCATCCGCAAACTTTACCAGTTCACTTTTAATTCCCAAATCCAAATAATTGACGAACATGTTAAAAAGCACTGTTCCAAGTACAGAACACTGAGGGACACCACTAGTCACCTTCCACCACGATGACTCAGTTTTGACTATTAATACTCTGGGTCCTACCTCGGAGCCGTAAAGTAGCTGAGGCCACATTTTCCCATTTTTACCATGTGGACATCATGGAAAACTCAGTTGAAGGCCTTTCTGAAGTTCAAGTATATGACATCAACCTAATTTCCCCTATCTAGGTGGCAAGTTACTTGAGCATTGAAGGAGATGAGGTTGGTCAGGCATGACCTGCCCACAATGAAGCCATGTTAGCTGTCCTTTAGAATACTGCCTTCTGTTAGCCTATCAATAGTGGATTCTTTGATAATTTCTTCCAGGATTTTACCAGGGATTAGCGGTCAAAGTGATTGGCCTGTGTGACAGGGGGCATGCTAGGGGCCAGGCCCTATGCCGGCCCGCCCACCTGTCTCTATGGGGCAATCTACCCGGTCTCATCTGCCATGACTTTGGTGTTCCCATAAACAGACTGTAAATGCAGAAACCTGCCTATTACGTGCCCCAGTGCCAGGGGCTGTGATCTGCGGCTCCAACCTCTTCTACACCACAGCCCATGCCTCACAAATGGCATCCACGTGATGTTTTTAATGCACACCATGACTGGTGCTCCAGGGTCTCACAGTCACTTTCATTCCCCCACTGGAGCAGCAGGTCATTGTGCTCAACTACAGGTCTTACTTTTGACCCACACTTGGCCTCCTTGAGGTAGAGGATTTACCAGGGTCAAGACTTGCCTGTCTCTCCAACTGAACCCCCTTACTCAGCCTCTGGCCCAAACTACAACCTCAGGTGTCTAAAGACATACCTTGGTCTGCTCCCCTCATATGGGGTTCCTACCATGCCCTCTCTAGGGCCTCTACAACACGCCTCACCCTAGGGTCTGCTCAATCAACTACTTACAGGGCTGGCCCTTGCACTGATTTTCAGGCTTACTCCTAGTTCAGCCCTACTCAGCCCCTCTCACACGCAGTTCTTCAGGCCTACTCCCATTCAGCCCTACTGGGTGCATAGCCACACAACTCTGCCTTCTTCCCTCAGGCCTCATTACACTGCTCTCTCTCAGGGCCTCAGGACTGACCACCCCCATAGGCTCAGGTGGCACTCTGTTTGCTATGCCTGGCCCCACTACACTCACTCCTTGGGCTCAGGTGCCCACAGCTGTGCCTGGCCCCACTCCTGCCTCCAAAGCCCACCTGAAGATGGGGGCTGGGATTAAGGTGCCTTTCCTCACCTTTCACCAGGGAGGTAACTGGCTTGGCATTTCCTGGGGACTCCTGTACCACCAGGCCACCCTTCCCCAGCAGGATGGCATTTTAGGTAATGCCCAGGACCAAGAGCCTCCAGCTTGTACCTGCTAACTGTTCCACATAGCTCAGCCAGGTGATGTTTCTGCCTAGACTACCAGCACTCAACTCCTCTGTTTATATAGGCAGCCAGAGTTCTGAAATGGCCACTGCAGTCAAGCACCTGCTGGCTGCTTGACTCAGCCCTTAAAGTGGCAGACACCAACAGTTCACTGCCACAGCCTGTAATTCCCTGGGTTCTCCTTTCTTGAAGATAGGCACCATATTGGCCTTCTTCTAGTCTTCTGGGACCTCTCCTGAGTGCCATGAGTCTTGCAATAGCTGTCCCATTTCTTTCATCAGGGACCTTGTTTCCCTTTTTTCTCTGACTTCCTACATATCTAAAGAAGGACTTTTTGTTGTCCTGGATTCTGGTTGCTAATTTGTATTTGGTTTGTGCCTTTGTTTTCCTAATCTGCTCCCTATAGGTGTGGGCTATTGCTGGGTACTCCTCTTTGGTGGTGATTTCTGACTTCCATCCCTTATAAGCTTCTTTTTTAATTTCAGGAGGTCTATGACAACCCTATTGAGCCAAGGGGGTCTGTCAGTCCTTTTGCTGCCTTTCTTATGAAAATGAATCCATCATCTCAAGATAAGATCCATTCCTAAACCAGTATCACCAGGACTGTGCTTGATTCCAGGTGAGACTAGTTACTAATTAAGATCTAATTCAAGTACCAGGGTCTCCCTCTCCTTCCAAAGATGCACCGAAAAGGTAACTTCTGGGTTTTACAAATGCTTATCATCCCTGAAGTGTCCCACTGTTTCTTCCTCATACTGTTTTTCCAAGGGTAAAATGATGTTAAAAATCAGGATACTAATGGACAACATGTGTTCCCAATTAACCGGAGAAGAATGTCTCCCACATACTGTTGCAATCCTGTACTTAGGGCTAGCAGTTTGTCATGAGTTCATGGTACAAGTAATATGTGATTTTAGTAAAGAGATAAAGTCACAGTCACAGTAAAAGTTGCCAGGAATCTCTAACTGAATCCTTTTTAATGAAAATAGCCTTTTTATTTTCAGTAAAAAATGCAAAGCCAATTACTAGCTTCTAGCTCATCATTTCAGATCATTGTCCCAGTGCCAGGAAATTCAGTTCCACACCCCAGCTGAGGCAGCCGCAATGCAGGAGAGCAGTAGGGACTCTTGGTTTCTGTGCTACTTTCCTGCCTCAGCTTTTACAAGGAGCAAGCACATATAGCCCACCTGTTGTGAGCACCCTGACTTTCCCCTGCTAGCCTAAGGACCAGATGTTGGGCCCCATGTGTGCCAAAACTTGACACACCACTGATCCAGGCTTGCTTTCTCTGTAGACTCCAAAACAAAGCCATAACTTGCCAGTTTTCAAGTGGCTCAGCCAAATTCATTCAGTTGTTAGCTGCTGCATCCATACCAAACAGTGAACACTTCCAACATCAACCGACCCCATGGAGACAGTCATGGTCATCTACTATGGGGGTGACCGGAAGGAGGCTTCACTCAGAGCATCAGTTGACCTCTTCTTCTATTTCATCTCCACAAGACTGGCCTCTTTGTTACCTGAAGAAAAAAAGAGTATTATATCTACCTGTCATCCACCTTATCCCTGTCTTCACTGCAGCTTGCTTGTGGCTCCATTAGATGGCAGCAGGAGCTGATACAACTGTTTTATGCGTTCACCCTTCCCCCCAATCTTTCAACTGTGTTTGCTGAATCATCATGATTAAACGGATGAGGTTGGAGAAAATCAGGCTTTTGCTTAACACCCCAGCTTGGGGCTGCTGCTTTCCTGACCCACGGAAACTTGGGCCGAACCTGCAGGATATAACTTGCTGCTCAGCTGCTGGCTGTAGAAACACGATTTTGTCTACTCTCTTTATGCTGTGTTTATTGGCATGAGGTGATCCAGGAAATTCAAGTCTTGTTCTCCTGAGTGCTGGGTTCAGTAGGTAAGTGAAGAATTATGAAGCTGGAAACAACAGGGTTTGCCTTGCTTAAAGTTTGTGTGTTAGCTAGTTTGTAGGCTGGCAGGGAAACGATCTCTGCCTGCAGCTCAGAGGCCAGCAGGATTTCTTAGCACTGAAGCTCCTGCTCTTGTTTCAGAAAACAGGAGGCAGGGAAAGCCATTTAAAAGAATAATGCCAGATATATAGCTGCTGTGATCAGCATGGCTTTACCTGAACGTACTGGGGGGAGTTTTTTAAAACTGTAATCTGATACTAAATAATAGAGCTGGCTGGGAATTTTCCAACAAAGCTGGTTGGAACTGTTTTAGAACCAGTTGTCTCCTCTGCCTTGCACAGGTATTAAATATCTGCAAAAAGTGCAAAACATGATAAATTACAACAAAATGCCTCCAAAGTTGTTTGCTGTTGCCTCTGGCAGAGCCAAAGTTGTTCCTGTACTCTCAATAAAGGAAAAAGCAAACTCATTTGCCCCTACCCTTTTGCCTTTCTGTACCTAGTGTGCGAACCAATTACTTTGTTCATTAGAGTCTGCAAGAAACATGTGAGAAGCCACACAAGTTCCTAGAAGAGCCTGTTTGGCTTGTAATTGCATTAACCTGAACAGTGGCCCATATATTGCTAAAGCAACAAATGCCAGAAGGCTTCTCCAGTCTAATGCTCCTGTGCTATTTCACAATACACAAGGTAGCTTTGTCTTAACAAATTTAAGTAACAAGGTGAATTGTAGTCACAAGTGAACTCCAGAGAGGAAGAAGAAGAAGGGATACAGGTGGTAACCACAGATAAGGTAGGACATGCAGGATGTCAGCCTTGTGAGGAAGCAGGCGTTGTTTAGTTTGTTTCTTTAATTATTTTTTTGAACAACTGCCTGTTTTGAGGTTTCACCTCAGAATAGGATTCCTTAGTTATGTTGTTATGGTATCAAGGCTATGGTGGGAAAGGCACTTTTATGCCTTGGTGCTATTTTACAGATGCTGATCACTCTAATCATGGCTTCTCTGATTTGCATGATCAGGGGACAGCAGGGCAGGCCCTATGAGGAGAGGCTACGGGACCTGAACCTGTTCAGCCTCCACAAGAGAAGGCTGAGGGGGGATCTAGTGGCCTGTTACAAACTAGTCAGAGGGGACCAGCAGGCATTGGGGGAGTCCCTGTTCCTCCGAGCACTACCAGGAGTGACCAGGGATAACAGTCACAAGCTGGCAGAGGGTAGATTTAGGCTAGATATCAGGAGGCGCTACTTCATGGTCAGGGCGGCTAGGATCTGGAACCAACTTCCAAGCAAAGTGGTGCTGGCTCCTACCCTGGGGGTCTTTAAGAGGAGGCTAGACAATCACCTTGCTGGGGTCGTTTAACCCCAGTACTCTTTCCTGCCATGGCAGGGGGTAGGACTCGATCTACTCAGGTTCCTTCTGACCCTAGAAACTATGAAACTATGATTTGCTCTTCTCTTTGGAGGAACTTCTGATGCTGTCTTCATTGCTCTGTTCCCTCCTACCCTATCTTTGAGGGAGAAATGGTGCACCTCTGTTTCTTCCTCCCCAGGGACTCACTAAAAATATTGAGGGAAGTGGATGCTTTTGCTATGGTGAAATGTAGGAAACGGAGATGGAGGTCTTGTACTACCGAGTGGTCTCCCTTGCTTTGCTTTGCTTTGCCTGCTGGGTTACCCTTTACCAGAGAGCTGTAAGAAGAGGAATCTTAATGACAGCTAGGTTTCTCACAGCTCTATCCTATATTTTCTGTTATCTAGATCAGGGGTTTTCAACCTTTTTTAATATGTATACCCCCAGTAGCTGGACAGGAAGCAGGGGTGGTGCGCAGGGGAGGGGTGGCATGTGGCTGGATGGGCAACAGGGGTGGTGTGTGGCAGGACGTGTAGTAGTGCAGGGTGGTAGGTGGCAGCGCTCCATCCCCACCTGCCTGTGTACCCCTTAGGGCCTTCCCAAGTACCTATGGGGGTGCATGTACCCCCAGTTGACAACCCCTGATCTAGATGCCATTTTGTCTTTTAAAACTTGGAGGCTGGGGGAGAGGTACTGTAGTCAAAAGCCCAGAGCAGCTGACAAGCACATTAAGGGCTGTGGGATTTCTTCCAATATGTTGTTTTTGGGCACAGAACAGAAGCCCATGCTACTAATATTGTCTTGTAAGTGCCTGGTATGTTGTTGTATAATGTGTGAAGAGCTCCAGGTGTGTAAGAGGTGCTATACTGTATAGAGGCAAGTAAGCGCATGTTGCAGAACACACACAGTTGGCATCCAGCCATTGCAGTGGAGGCATATCCTATAAGTGCTTTGTATTAATATTTTAAAATATTCTGCTGACACAGGCCCCAGGCCTCCAGAAACTTCTGCACACAAGTACTGATCACTTTATATTCAAGTCTTAAGACATTAGTTTCCACAGGAAAAGTATTCTCATGGCACCTTGTTTTTCCTCTTTCACCTTAGATTTTATCTTGAAGTTCTGCCATCCACAATGGGATCCAAGCTCTCAGTGGATGACTCTGTGTGCGTTGTGATCGTTGGAGGTGGTTTCGGGGGAATTGCAGCTGCCAGCCAACTAAAGTCCTGGGGAATCCCATTTATTCTTGTGGATATGAGAGATGCTTTCCACCACAATGTTGCTGCCCTCCGAGCCTCTGTAGAGAGTGGTAACTTCTTATTTGTTTTTTCCTAAAGTCTGTGGACCATTTCTGGTCCCTTGTGATTCGTTTACTTCACAGAGAGGTGTGGTACTCCAAGCTGAAAGATGAACTGTAAAGTTTTCAAAAGACAAACACTTTTTTATAGCACTCCAAAATAGACAATGGCTCAATGACCATTCCAAAAAGACGATAGACAATGTTGTCAAAAACAGACAAAATTCCAAAATAGACAGTGGCTCATGATTTAAACTAATCATGCATCTTCTCAAAATTTGAGACCATTGTTACCTTCTAAAATCAAAGGTTTAAATCCCTGATTTAGTGACAGCACAAATAGTGATAGCACAAACGTAGTTGTGCCATTACAATAGCTCTGTGTTTGAAAACAAAACCATATGCTAGGAACAAACGTTGCATTTGCCCTCAGTTGTGCCTATGTTTGGCATGTACACATATCACTCTTTTTAGTAAGGGTTTAATGAGCAGCTGAATGCACTGCTGCTTTTCTGCCATTAATTCAGTGATAAAATTCCTGGATAACTACAGACATACTTCTGAAATTTCTTAGGATAAACTGTTATTACCTTCTTATTTGGCTAAAAACAGAGATTTCTACCAAGACAAATTCTGGGATCCTACGGGCGTATAAGCCCATTGTCCCAATTTAAATACCTATGAAGTAGAGATGAATTCTGATGCAAGTCAAAGCCCAGGATAATGGGCATGGGCCTCTATATTTGCACTTTGTCCCTCATTTATCCTAGGATCAATACAATGTCTACAGCCTAGCAGCTGAGCTTCTCCAGCAATAGGAATGCTGTGCTAGCATTAATTACATGAAGGATCATTTTCCAAGATTTAATGATCACTATTATAAACAAAAGCTTGAAAGCACCGTTCCACTTGAACTTGCCATTTTTATCCTTCTTGGTACTTTTGAGTCATGAGTTCTGCAGCTGAGCCTCCTTACGATTTGGGGGATTGTCTCTCTTGGGGTCTTGGCTATGAAACTTTATAAAGGGCCCTGCAATATTTGGCATTTCTCCTGGAAGCTGAACTTCCAGGAGACATGAGATAACATGAGAAACCCATTTTACAGACTTTTTTTCTTCTAATCTAAAGAAAGTTATCTAGCCTTCACGTTTAAATGAATCTTTAAACATCAAAAGCTCAAAAACAGGAGGTCAAAACATGATGTAACTTTTTAAAATTAAGTTATATCAATAACTTAATTAAAAAAAAAAGTTATGCTGTTAAAGCCAGACAACGAACTCTTTTGCAGTGGGAGGTTGCAGAGCTGAGCCATGACTTAGTAAACGTTGGGAGTTAGCAACACTAATATAACTGGACCCAGGCAAACCCCACACTGTAGACATGCTGTACTGGTATAAGATGTGACTAGTAGCTGGTTCACCCTCTGTGTCTGAGCATGTTTTAAAACTAGGTGGTCACTATTGAGAAAAGTACCTTGACTACCCTTCTTTCTCTCTCTCTCTTTTCCTTCTACACAGAGAGCAAATACTCTGGTTTGGTCCTGGACTTAACTTAAACCATAAAAACCACAAAAGACTCTGCCAAATTATACTAGGCCAAATTTAGATCTGCATTAAAACTGAATAATCTGGCAGGGAATGTTTCTCAATGTCTCCCAGTATTTTCATTTGGTTGCTGGTAGCAGTACAAGCAGGGACACTAACACAGTTGTTCTCCAAGTCTTTCATTCAGAAGCTCACTGCAGATAGCTTTACAAGAGAGGGAGACTTTTATGAGCCCATCACTCCTCCAGACATTGATCTTCAATTTTTTGGTATCAGTGTTTATATCAGTAGTCGCCAACCAGTGAATCTTGATCCACCAGTAGATCTCAGAGCCTCTTGGGGTAGATCTTGGAGCCTCTTGGAGTTGATCCGAGGCTGGGGTGGGGGGGATGAGAGCTGGTGTGCATGCACGGGCACGCTCCAGCCCAGCAGGTCAGTCTGGGGGGGAGGGAAGGAGCAGGGGCTAGATCAAGGCCACCATGGTGAGGGGCAGTGCCGCAGAGACATGAACAGGGGTAAGTTGAGTGGGGCCTTGGCTGGGTGGGATTTACATGCTGGGGAGGCGCGCCCCCAAATAATTTTTTTTCTCCCTTTGCCTTGATCTGGGGTGGGGGGAGGGGCAGCAGTGCATGGTAGATCTTGCGTTGCTTCTAAATGCCAAAGGTGATTTCCTACTTAAAAAGGTTGGAGACCGCTGGTTTATATTCTAGTAGTCCATGGATTTTCAGTTTAAACAATACTGACCTTCATCCCTGAAGCTAACATAGATGATAGAAGTTAATATGGTTTTGCCTTGCAGGCTTGTATATTGTAAGAAAACCAAAACTCTTGCTTCAAACTCATTTGATTCTAAATGATATTTTATTGTATGGCTATGTCTTCAATTGTCAACTGAGGTAAAAATTTCTAGGATTTTATATTGGATGGAGAAAATAGGCCTCAGGAGACAGGTGCCATGGGTCGGGTAGTATTCTGTGCAATAATTTAAGCAAGAATTTAGAACTAATGGAGGGTTGAAGTACTGTTGTAGCTGTGATGGTCTCGGCAGAGCGGACCTGAGCAGGGTGCGGGGCCCAGGGCAAATCAGCCCATGCGGGGCCCTGCCCCTGCTCCGATCCCACAGGCCCTGGATCCAAAGAAGCTGCTGCCACCATTGGTGGTGGCGGCGGTGCAGGGGGCAGGTAGTGAGCAGTTGGATGTGGAGCTGCCGCTCTGCCCAGCTCTGCAGGGCCCCCCATAATGCATGGCCTGGGGTGGTTGCTCCTTTGGGACAGCCCTGGGTCCAGGAAATATATAAAACCTAAACCTCACAACTAAAAGAAGGTCATTGGAACTGGATTACTGGAGACGTAGTGGAACATGAACTTTCTAGTTCCCTACTTTCCTTGTAACTTCTTATATACTTTACTAATACAGAAGTAGCATTAACTTCTTCCCCTCTCCTTTTTTTTTTTTAATTCCAGGATTTGCCAAGAAAACTTTCATTTCTTATTCTGTGAGCTTTGGAAGTAGCTTTCGACAAGCCAAGGTGGTTGGAATAGACCTAGAAAAAACCCAAGTTTTGTTGAATGATGGTAAGGTGAGTGTGTCCAGAACTGACTACATGACTTGCAATGAATAAATTATGTGCTGTATTTGTGAAGTAAATACTCCCTCTCATGTAGTGTCTGAGGTGTTAAATTGTGAATTTCTTTGCAGGGTTTTTATTTGGATTGGTCAACCTGTCTCCTGTAAGAATTCAGTATGTGAAACCCAAGCTATGTTAGATATTTTTGACTGGTCATTTACTATTCTTTTCTGTTACATGACTGGAAGAGTCTGAATTAGAAGGATTTAAAGTAGTTATCTGGCCTTTGAATAACTCAGTCTAAAGTAGCAGGTGAGAGAGATAAAGGAATTGTTGAGCATTTTAGGTTTTCTTCTTTCTGGGACACCTGATCTTGCCTGAAGCATCATTCCAAGAAAGCAAGGTAACTGTGAAAACCACTGGATGGATGTGGTATCTCCCTAATGTTGTCCTATTTATACACATCCAAAATAACTGAATGTACACACTGGATACAGTCAAAGCCTGGTCTGGTTTATATAATTACCTCTGTGTCTTAATTTGTCTAGAGCAGTGGTTCTCAATCTCTCTAGGCTCCTGAGATACCTCCATAACTCCTGTGAATTGAGCAGTGCCCCATTTCAATGACAAATGTATTTACTGCAACACTTAACTCCTGGTACAGCACTGTGGAGGCGTAGGGCTTGGAGTAAGCACTTAGCTCCTTGCAGGGCAGGGGTAATTATGGGTTTAGCAGCTGGCACTGGAACTAGGCATGGATGAACCTGCACTTAGCTGCTCACTTGGGGCTGGCAGGAACAAGCATGAGTTTATCTCTTTGCACTGGAGCCAGGAAGAGATGAGCCTGCACTTATCTTTTGCATAGGAGCCAGCCTGGGAAGAGCTAGTGCTAATTGCTTTGCCCCCTCCTCAAAAGAACCATCACTGCAAACTGCTGGCCTAGAGTTTGCAAACAGATTATTTTGATCTACAGCAGCGGTAGGTAACTATTTGGGCTGGAGTGCCACTTAATTAGTTTTGGTGAGCTTTTGGGACTGCACAGAAAATTGATTGGACATTTATATATGTGCTGGGGGGGGGTAGGGGGGAATGTTTTAATTAGAGTGGCTCTCAGCTGCTCTAATTAAAACACCTGCAGCATCACAAGTGTTCAGAGTCCCATGCTTCAAAATTGCAGTGGGGGTGACTTAAGTAAATGGTTTGATGAGCTTTATTTAAAGTGCCCCCCTGCCATTTTGAACCATGGGGACACTGAATATATGTGATGCAGAGGCTGCTGGAGCATGCTAATTAACATGCTCCAGAAGCCTTCTAGCAGACTTGATTAATCAAGTCTGCTCTGATGCATGCTAATTAGCACAGGTTGAAGCAGAGCTCCATCATGTGTATAGATGCCCATTGTGTTTAACAACAGCAGTACTTAAAAATCGTTATGGCATTTATAGTATAAATGATCCTTCATGTTTCCACACTTAATCAAAATAATAGCATTTATTAACATGCTAACTAATGTGATACAGGTCTACCCAGAACTTATCTGCGGGCTGGATAGAATCAGTTGGCAGGCCAGTTATGGTCCATGTGCTGTATTTTGCCTACTCCTGATCTAGAGCTTCTCAAAAGGTTTTGGAAGCTCTGTCCTTTTGTTGCGATATACAGAATCCTATAAAATACAGACGATAAACTCATAGGATCCAAAGCTGGGTTCTTCAGTATTTGGATTACTGAAAATTCAGCTCCGAGCATTGGAATTTTGGATATATTGTTGAGATATTTACCCTGGGAAAAACTATGGCATCTATTTTATCCCGGGATAAAGTGAAATTATAGACATCCCATTTCTGTTGTCCTGGGATAAGTCCAGGGTAAAAAAAAGTTTCCTGGGTAAGAGGTAGTTACAGTTTATCCTGGAATATTGCAAAGTATATCCATACAGTTATCTCAAGACTACATCATTGAATCAATGGCAGAAAAGTGGTACTACATTCAGCTGCTCACTAAACCCTGATTAGGAGGGCAGTGTACATATACACACCAATCCCATGATATTCTTATTCTAGGACAAACAGGCAACTTGCCCAGGCACAAATGCGAAGTTTCTTTCTAGCCTTATTAGAGACTAGCTGGTTCAGAGAGGCATAGCATCTGAAAAAGTATTTGCACTAGTGAGGTCTCACCTGGAGTACTGTGTCCAGTTTTGGGTCCCCCACTACAGAAAGGATGTGGACAAGTTGGAGAGAGTCCAACAGAGGGCAACAAAAATTATAATGGGGCTGGGGCACATCATTTATGAGGAGAGTCTGAGGGAACTGGGCTTATTTAGTCTGCTGAAGAGAATACTGAGGGGGAACTTGATAGCAACCTTCAACTACCTGTCAGTGGTGACAGATGACAGGACAAGGAACAATGGTCTCAAGCTCCAGCAAGGGAAGTTTAAGTTGGATATTAGGAAAAAATTTATCATTAGAAGAGTGCTGAAGCATTGGAATGGATTACCTGGAGACATGGTGGAATTTCCATCCTTGAAGGTTTTTTAGGCCTGACTCAACAAAGTCCTAGCTGAAATGATCTGGCTAAGGATGGTCCTGCTTTGAGCAGGTGGTTGGACTAGATGACCTCTTGAGGTACCTTTCAACTCTAATCTTCTATGATTCTGTAAGTAGGCTGTTACTTACAAAAGCGAATGCGTGTGTAAACCAGTTAGTCTCTAAGGTGCTGCCTTGTTCTGCTTTCTACCTTCTTTGTCAAAGGTGACTGCAAAAATGCAGTCCTCAAGCAACATATTTAAAATTTAGATCAATGCTTACAGAAATGCTGAGTAGATACCCCAAAATTTAATTGGTAAGCATTGCCTGGGAGGCTTGTTATTCCTTCATTTCCCATTTGAGCTGCATGTGGCAACTTTTCAGTGGTCAGAGTGAGCTGGCATAGGGTGTGAGCTAGGGATTGGAGCACAGTAAATATTTTTAAGAAGGCATGAATAAATGCTGTGCACCAGTCTCGTCAGGTTTGTAGCCTTGCTGCTCACTCTCTTACTGCCAGTAAAAACAACTAAACGAAGGACTCTGAAGTCCTTTAAATATGCATAGAGTAGTTAAAGTGCAGGAAACAGCTATATAAACTTCCCTGGATCATGCGGGTGGCCCTCCTCTAGACCCTCTCAATGTTGTCCACATTCCTCCTGAAGTGGGGTGCACAGAACTGGACACAGTACTCCAGCTGTGGCCTGACCAGTGTTGCATAGAAGGGGAGGATCATCTCCTTGGCCCTGCTGGAGATGCACCTGTGGATGCACAACAAGGTCCAGTTAGCCCTGCTAACCGTGACCTCGCATTTTCGGCCCATGTTCATCTTGGAGTCAGTAATGACTCTAAGATCCCTTTCTGCCTCCGTGCTCTCAAGAAGGGAGTTTCCCATCTTATAAGTGTGCTGCTGGTTACTACTGCCCAAGTGCAGCACCCTGCACTTGTCAGTGTTGAAGCGCATCCTGTTTTTGCTAGCCCACCCCTGCA